CGCCTTGTATGAATGATAACTAGGGACATTAATAGTGCAATCTATAAAGAGAAAATTTAATAAATAGCAAAGAGATTAAACTTAATTACGCCTCATAGCTACAGTTTGTCTAATTACACTCCATAGCTATAGTTTCGTGTATTATGTGTATTTATGTTTGTATATTTCTCTTGTCAATATACAAACAGAGTAAGTATATACAAATTGTGTATTTATACATTTAGGAATATTTCAGAACTCCATTTGTATATTTTGCTTGCCAATATACAAACATAGTAATTTATTGTGATTTTTACATAACTTATACAAATCAAATGTATCAACAAATCGTATACAAATAGCTAGGGTAAGCAGATACAAATTCTGAATTTATACTATCAAGAATCAAATTATATAAATTTTGAATTCATACAATTAGAAACCGAATAACAAAATTAAAGAACATGTAGCAGCAAATTATAAATATTTGAAACTGTAGCTAAATTAAATAATATGCTATAAATGTTTGTCATTTTTTCATTTATAAATATTTCCTTCTTGTAAATCACCATATTGCAGCCTAGGCTAGCTTCTCAAGGCCCACTCCATTCCATTTCCTCTTGTAATTGGTCCAGTTCAAGAACTACTGGGCTTGCTCCAAGTCTCTTGTTCTATCCATTGTCTTAATGAGATAAAATTGATCAAATGGTAGAGCTAAAATGATTGATTGATTGCTATAATAACACGGTGCGGATGAATTTTGCAGTCAAACCTCGATATAACAATTATTTGTTATGATAATATTTCACTATAACAATCTAATTTTCTTTAGAACAGATTTTTCATGATATATTTTACTCATTTATAACAATATTCTACCTATTACAATAGTGAATTCATTATAGCAACACACTCATTGTAAAATTAGATGTCTATGATAATCATACTCAAATATTACGTAAAAAAATATATTATGTATAAAAATAAATATTCAAATATTCATGGTAATTATCACTATTGTAATGCATATAATAAATTTCAAATATGAGTATCTCAAATGTTGCTCGTCACTTATAGTCATAAATTCACACTAGTGTTTTGACTTTTTATATTCATATTCTTTTTTATTAAATTGGTTAACGAATACATTCCTTCTTTATATACACCATCATTAGTTTTTGTATTATTTATTTATAACAGTTTGGTCTAAATGTTACATGTCACTGTGTGAGTATACATATAACATCACCAAGGAAAAATTATGTGACTTGGAAAACATTGTGAGTTTACTATTTAATAAGGGTGATTATAGTTTAATATAGTTTGCTATTAAATATGGGCCACACCTACTTTGTATACTGAATCAAAAATGATCTTCTCGGCTTTTGTATACTCATTTATTCAAACACAATTTTATCTATCCTCTCCCTATTCCCTAATTCTCTCATGAAATCACTCATACACATCCAATTTGAATTTCAAAATTTACTCCCTCCCTCCTAATAGTGATTTCACTATTGTAGGTATTTGTCCAAATTTTTGTTGGGTTTAACACAAGATTTTGCAGGTAGCCGTCCAAATTTTTGCTGGGTTTAACGCAAGATTTTGGAATCAACGCAGGATCTATTGCAAAATCTAGAGAAATTGAAGAGGAAAAATTTATTCAGGAATTGAAATCCAATAAACAAAACGATCCAATGACATTGCAGCAAGTTATCAATAATGTTAAGGCAAGCGACATCAAAAGAGTTGAAGGGGGAAAGGTGGTTCATTAGATCTTGACAAATCTAAAGAACCACATGTATTCGTATATATCTTAAATGTATATAGCAATTTGTATATTTATTAGTTATTATTTATACACATACAAAATTGTGATTTAGTTCCATATATACATAACTATATTGAGGTGTATTTATATATTTGTATATTTAAATCATATGTTCATATACGTATACAATCTATAATTATATACAATTACAAATAGTTCTATCTTTTATACAAAATTACAAATATTTGTATATTTATGCAGATGCATAAGTAGTAATTAATTTGTATAAATATTGATGTTAGTATCGTAGTAGAACTAATGATGTGTAAATACACGCAACTGATTTAATAAAGATGATGCAGAATACTTATGTTTTTACCTAATGAATGTATTGGAATATATTACGTATGGATGATCACTAAAATTTTATTTTCCTACAATAAGGTTACTAAACTACTTTTGGATTAAAAAGTTAGGATGGTCGCTAAATTTTTAATTTCTTGCAATAAAGTTCGTAAATTATTTATGTAATAAAAAAATCATTCATTCAACTTTACTATGAAATAGTATAATGAAGATAGCTAAAAATAAATTTAATAAAAAAGTCACATTGCCTAATTGCCATAAAAATCACTAGGCCAAAAAAAAATTAAGAAGATATGGCTCTACAACGAACATAATATTTTCTTTGATACTTAGGCAAAATCGAAAATCTTTTTATAATAATTTTTTATACTTTTTATGATAATTAAATTTAATTAAGTTATAACTTTCTTGTTATGAAGAATAACTTCTAACTTTTTTGCGATAAATTAAAAGTTGAGAGACATATAGGTAAACCCTTTTTCAAAGGATGGATCATAATCTAATTAATAAAAGTTTAATATTCTTAATTATTTGAGGTTAATTTAGTAAATTAGACAAAAAAAAGTGCCTATAAAATTTTAATATTGTTAGGATAAAAATATCATTATATAAACTATCATACAAGCAAGTGGATCAAACAGCTTTTCTAAGCCTTAAACTCAACAATGATGAAAGTTAAATCAAGCATCAATATGGGTGAGAAGGAATAATCAAATACAATGGAAAAAACTATTTTTGGCATATTGTCACGGACTTAGACTCCAATTAAGCACTTCGTGCGAGACTTGACAACTTACTCATAAATTTTTCACCATCTTGTAAGCTTAAGTAAGCTTTTTTCATGAATTTCTAAAAAGACTTTTATATTGCTTGTAAGAATACTTGTTTTTGGTTGATGTCATTACAAATGAAAGTCCCTCTATTTATACTACTCAATAAGGGCTAATTTACAAATATTAATTATGTACAAGTCCTTATTCGACAACTCTCTACACAACTAGAAGATTTCAAAGACCTTCCATGCAAATCTATGAAATTCTAAGGTTTCCCAAGAAATTCACCTTATATTTCTAGAATATTCCACCAAGGACTATTGTTCTTTCAATGTAAGCACCACATAGACAACCTATACAACGTGACACCTAAGTGGTGTGATAACATGGTGGATCATCACACTATGCTATGAAACTTGGACAAGGCATGCAACAATATGACAAAAGTTGTTGCATTCCTTTTGAAATTAGAATAGTGCATAACCAAAGGCAACAGAATAGACCCACATTGTATCTTTTTACCTATCAACAAACCATGAATGCTCAATAATTCAAATAAGATAAAATAAAAATTCTTTCAAAAAAATCTCAATTTCAAAATGTGTTAAAGTCACAAATTCAATCAACTCTTCTTCATCTAAATTTATATTACATAAAAAGAAGTATTTGAAAAATCTAGAAAAAAATTCTGGTGATAATTTTTTTTTTCAATAAGAGTATCTGGCATATCAGCGAGACTCTCCATCTAATATGTAGCAATAATTTTTTGTTGGAACATAAATATAAAAACTAATGCTTTCTCAAAATGCAATATCCCAATGTAGTAACTACAATATTATCAAAATGCATACCCTGGCTAAAAGAGATATATAGTGATGGAACGGAAACTCATATGATTGCCAAAAGAGATATCGGAAATTGTTAAGTCAAAGAACTCATAACTTAAACCATCCAAATGTTGGATCAACCTGAACATGTGATTTGAAACTTTCATAAATATAATATTTTCATTTATTACAACCTAGCATTTAATAAAAAAAATTAAGAAAACAAATCATTATTAATGAGTTTATTGATACGTTGATACGAAATAAAGAAAAATAATTTTATCGGATGAATTCATCAAATTGATTGTGTGTGTTATAGAGATTCAAAGGTTCAAGAGTCGAAAGTTTTCAAAAATATTATTTTTATTAAATAACTAGTTAGTCATAAGTATTTATAGTTTATAGTTTGTATGCAAAAATTCAGTATCTTATTATATAATTTGGGTAAGATTTTTTCAAATTGATAAAATATTAGCCATTTATTGCAATATAATGACTTGATTCTTATTTTCAAAAATCTTATTTGTAACTAATAAGTTATAAGTAGTTTAATTCAATATTCTAAATTACCGAACAAAGTTCTACTATTATTTATCTAAAACTTAAAATTTTGAATAATTTTTTTACTACATTACTAATAATATCATGACTTTATCAGGAAAAAATGAACTTTTCTAAATTCTGATTGTAATACATGTTGTAGTATTTTTATAGTGGTAGATTCGTTGTCGAAAATTAACAATTATTTATAATTTGAGATATTGAAATAAATACTTGATTATATGAAAATAAGATTTAATACATTCATATTTCATAACTACACAAGAAACTTATAAATTTTTTATATTAAAAAGACTTGAAAATGATATTTAACTCCCTAAAATATATATTCTTTCTAATCATCATAAATAAAGTTTCATTTTTTAAAAATATTTAATTAGATTGAGTTGCTCAAATAGGTGAGCAAATTAAGTCAAATTTATCTCTCATTAATTAACATAACTTAATCCGTTGGTTCTGATTTTTTTCTTATTCTAGTTTTTCCCTTTTTTGATGAATATTTTATATATTATTTTAAATTCCACTTTTTAAAATTAATTATTTTTATTTTTCCATAAAATGTAATGTTATTAATACTTAATAGGATATCTTATTATGTTTTGACTTCAGACCACTAATTATATTATGTCCCGGTACAACAATATTGATGAAAATGAATCGAGAGAAAACTATAGTTTCCATTATCAACAATTTCCATAATAATAATAATAAAAAAAAAACATGGCTTTCTTTAGAGTCCAACCAGACAAGAAAGAAAACTAATTTTTTTTTTGGTTTTCATCCGGTGTCTGGTACCTACATTGGAGTCCGACTAAATTTGAATTCACACTTGAAAGTCCTACATTGAAGGTAAAGCGCTCCCTAACAAAGGCGACTCCATACCAAGGAGGCTCGAACCCGAGACCTCTTGGCTAAGAATAAAGTAGTACTTATTACTACTCCACCACAATCTTGATTGGTGAAAGAAAACTAGTTTAATTAGCTACAACCATATAGCTTTGGCATTAATAAGCATTTGTTTAAGAGAGCCATTAACATGAAGGGAAATAACATCTTTTGTTGATCCAACAAAGTGTCCACCAATGAAAATAGCTGGAACACATGGATTACAACCTAGACTTCTCAATGCCAATGCCATTTCATTGCCTCTTGAATCTTGATCAAGTTCATGTATTGCTGGGCTTGCTCCTAGTTCATAAAATAGTGCTTTGATACTATGACACATACAACATGAACTCTTTGTGAATATTACTGCTGCCCTCTTTGATGACAAATCTCTAATCTTATCCATATTAAGTTTTCTTATAAGATGAGCTCAACGAGAACAGAAAAAAATCTCGTGTAGAACAGAAGGAAGTAGAATGATGATGTTAGTGTTGTAAGGTTTAGTGATGTTTGAGGTTATTTATAAGGGATTCTTGATAGGTACTCCCTCCATCCCTTTTTAGTTGTCATGTTGCGCTTTTCGAAAGTCAATTTGATTAATATTACATTAATTCGACATTTTAAACTATAAATTTAGATATTTCAAAAACTATATACGAAAAGTACTATAAATTGTAATTTTTTGCAAATGTTAGTCAAAGTTTTCATCGTTTTGACTCTAAAAAAAGAAATCATGACAACTAAAAGGGGACGGATGGAGTATATGGATTACATTGCTTATAGTTATCTAGAAAAAGGCAAAATACTCAAAGGCCAAAAATACTAAAGTTAGCTAAAAATGAAACAGAGGAAATTCATTAAAGATATTTATTCTTAAAACTAAAGGAATCAAATAAGTATTGAGAACTTAATTAACAAAAAAAAAAATAGAAAAAGTGTTAGCACTTTGATTATGTTCTTGATTTTGCCCACTTGTGCTTACCGACCATAACCATAATACCTGAACCCCTTCAATGTCCGTACAAACTATATCACTATTTTGAAGATTTTATTCCTTTAATTATTTACTTAATAAACTAACTCTTATAATTCACTGGGAAACTTTCGGTGATAAACTATGACTAATGGAGACGTTTGGTATGCGGGATGGGATAAATAAAAATATCTCATGAAATTAATTATTTTCACTTTCTATATGAAATGGTGATCATACCATTTTATTACAAATGATGGAATACAATAATCTTGGAATTACCTAATACTTCAAACTGTTGAGATTATAATTAACTATTAAAAAATGTGTTTTCTCTAATAACTTAAGCTTTTAGATGAGATGGTCACACACTTCAACATGGTATCAAAGCAGACAAAGGTCTTGAGATCGAATCTCATCGTCACTCATATAAAAAAAAGACGTACTTGATCTATAAAAAAGAATTAGACTCTCACGTGAGGGAGCATGTAGACTGTAGTACTATTAATTTAGTATGTCAAGAATAAAGATGTTTAGATATTCTAAAGACATTAATGCTATTATATGAATAGATGTAGAAGAATAATGTCGAATAAAATATGCTCTATAATTATTTAATGCATGCATACGAGAATATATAAAACTTATTTGAGAAGATTTTTGAGCAGTGTCAGATAACAACTTAACAGGTTCATTCACTAGATTCAAATTAAAATAAAATAAAAAAGTTGTAATATTCCTCTAAAATACAAATTTTACACGTTTGATTGTGAAATTCTATGGAATCAAAGAAGCTAATAATTGAAAATATAGATTCCTTACGTCTTCCAAGTTGAGATTTTTCATGTTACAAAGTTAAATAACTTGTTTGAAGGATCTTATAAATATATATAGCTGATGTGTAAAAGATGAGAGCTTATCCAATTTGTTCTCACAAATATTCTTTAATTTATTCACCTTTGGACCCATGCAAGTTGTTTGTGTCACAATGTCACACATTGTTCGATCTAAAAGTTCATTTCTATCGTAATGAAGGATTAGGGGCGGGGCTACATTCAATGAAAAGGTCTATAGAATAATCCCGGTTCGATCGAAAAATCATATTGTATAGTTATTCACAAGTCACAAATTCAAATTACAAATATAATAGTGTTAATGTGTTATACTCTAGCTCCGCGGGAGTAGAGTTAATTAAGGTTGTATTGAATTCTCTTTAGACTCTACTTGTGTGATTACACTGGATATGTTGTTGTGTTATTATGCATAGGTAACATGGTAAAAACTTATTATCAGCATCTAGTGAGTATACACCAAACCACACAACTTAACCACGGTTATGTTATAAATAATTAATTAACAAGAATGTGTAATTGTTGAAGAGTCTCACATTGAACGAAAAAGAATTGGTGGTCCCTTTAATATGATTTGAGCAATCCTCCCTATTATGAACTAGCTTTTGGGGTTGAGATAGGCTCAAGATCCATTTTTCTATACATTCAATGTATATATGTGAATATATAAGTATGTATTCATTGATTTAGTGTAAATATCGGGTACACAAATACTCTTGTGACATTATTAGTTATCTTAGGTGTGAAGGAAAGATGGGAATCAAAGTAAGAAGGCGAAAAAGAAGAAAACATGAAGAATCCGGGCTAGTAGCTAGGTGGATATATATGCATCTTTGCTTCCCCTTTTATTTGTGGAAAGAGATGCTACTTGTTTGCATTCCCAAAAAGATTCTTTAGAGAAAAAACTCTTCATAAGATTATTAAGCCAACAATATTATTGCATGAAGCATGCAGGCAAATAATATGTAATGTAAGATGTATCTAGAGTAATTATTGATCTTTATTTAAGTTAATTAAGTTTTCTGTGACTAATTTAGTATTTAGTTTTAAAAAATTAGGTACGAATTTATGTTTTTAAATGAGCTAGTTGTTAATTTTTGGAAGGTTCTCTCTATAGTTTGAAATGATTACATTTTATCGCACTATTTAATAATTTCTTATCAAATTTCAAGTCAGATACATGTGAATCACACTATATACATGTATTTGGGACACCAAATGCGCAAGCGAGATGGGAGGGAGATGAGTGAGATTTGGCTACGTATCCCAGTTAAATGAGAATAACAACTCGATACTCTGTAAATACATGTATCTGGGATACCAGATACGCGAGCGAGATATGCAAGACGGGAGGGAGGGAGGCAAGTGAGATTTGTCTATGTATCCCAGATACATGTGAATCCACTTGGATAGTGTATCTAAACCAAAGTACACCTAATTTTGAGCTCATGTATCACGAGATACATGTATCTGCACGTATCTGGACACACCAAAATATGATAAGATTCGTAAAATATTACAAACTAGCGTGTATCTAAGTAATGAGTTGTTAAACATGTAGTGAAATTTCGGTAAGTTACAAATAAAAATTCGAGGCCCATGTTGAAGAAATGTCGAGAGCCTGAACCCTGATCTAGTCAAAGCCCAATATGCAATAGTGGTAACATACTCTTTTTTGGACACTTTTCTTAATTGTGTTCAATTTTTTTATGAAAGACTGAATTTATATTTTATATTGCTCAAAGGTATATGTTTCTTAATTTGTGCTCACTTCATATATATTTAACAATATTCAAAGTTCGACTTCAAAGCATTTGTTTTACCAAACTCGACAATTCATTGTTGGATCTGAGGGGTGTTGAACAGGATTGAGTTGAATTTGAACGGATTAAAATGATTGGATTGATAACAGATTAATTATTTGGGTTAAAATGAATTGGATCACAGGAAAGTTCTATTTCGGCACATTTTTCATCAATAGACAATGTACATCATTGTATATCACACACATTTTTATGGATATACAATAATATACATGACACAGATACATTGATATACAATATATTGGAACTTGCCTCTTGTTTTTAAGAAGAATGTAGTGAAATTTTGGAAGGTTTTCTAGTTAAATGGTGTATTATTAACTGCTGATGTATTCAGGAGTCCAGTGATGTATTCAAAATTCATAAATTTTAAGGAATTTTTATAATTTGAAAGAGAATAGGAAAATAATGTAATTAGCTCTTAACAGTATGAGATTTATGTAAACTATCCTAAATTTAGAAGTTAGATACTATATGGTTAATACATGTGAGCTAGAGCAGGTTCTTTATTAGATCAATGCATGCATCAACTCTAAAAATATTGAATCCAATTAAATTGTGATTGGTGACCTAAAGTATGTGATTATATAGAGAATCCAATTTAAACATGAAGCATTCCCTTTTTTTTCCAATTAAAATTGTCACCAGAGAAAGAGGATGCATCAATTCCCCAATAGTAGATGTAAGCATTCCCTTTATAATACTGTTTTATTCGGGAATTTATGAAAGTAAGTATTTTCATCTTAGTCTATAATAGTGCCTATTTCTTTAATATTTTTATCTTTAGGAGAGATTTTTTAACGGATGACAATTCGGTTCTCTAGACCCATCTGCCACCTTGTGTCTTTGATGAACGTGACTAAGACTCAATCAATCTTAGCTAAAGGTCCAATTTATACTATCGTTTAGATAGCGTGGCAAGTTAGGTTATATAAAGATATTGAAATAGTGTAATTAAGTTAAGTGATGATGTGGAGCAAAAACCTAAAACCTTAAATTTTAATGTTGAAGTGACATAACTAAGATCAATTAAATCATTACTAATTTATCGACATGTCAAATACCAATAAAGGAGGTTCAATAAAGTTAGAAAGTGTTACCATCACCATGAAATTCAAGAATATAAGTTCAGAATCAAACTGCGTTTCAAAAGGGTAAACCACTTATTTTTTCAAAAAAAATATTTAAATCACCCAATTGGAAGTACAACATAGTAAACCAATATATAAAAACTATATACCATGTCATAAATTTGAATCAAGATAGAAAGGAAACTAAATGAGAGTGACTAAAAGAGTCTATGACATTATATATTATATATATAATTTCTTATTACAATGCTTGAGACATTAAGGACTCTTGTTTGATAAAACAGAGTTTTCATTGAGCATATTACATAAAAGATGCTCAATTCCACAAACATTGAGAAAACCAAACTTACTAGGTGTTAATATGCACTTTCTACAAGGTGGAGTGTAGTTTCACCCGCATATTCGACGTGAGTCTGAACTAGTCATGCCAGTAAATATTGAATACCAAATATATAAACCAAAAAAAAAGTGTATATACACTATAGCCAAAGAGCTTTAGCTTTCATGAGCAGAGGAACAAGATTTCCCTCTAGATGTAGACTCATGATCTCATTCGCACCGCCAATTAATTCTCGTCCAATGAACACTGCTGGCACGCTAGGCCTTAGGCCTAGCATCAGCAGTGCTCGTTCGACTTGTAGCCCATTGGGAAGCTCATCCAATTCATATACAGTTAAGTTAGCACCAAAACTTGATATGAGTGTCTTTATTGTGTGACACATACAACACTTGTTTTTGCTAAAC